AAGGAGGGCCGCTTCAGGGCCAACACCATCTGGAGCCTGTTGGGGGAGCAGCGAGGAGATAGAATCTTCGCGGAGGCGCGCAGAGGGCCCTTGTGGCGGGGCCAAGGAAGACAGGCGACGATGCGGAAAACGCGCTGCCGTTCTTAGCGGCGGCCCCCATCGTGCTAGAGGCGGAGAAGCCGCCGACCGCGGTTGCCCGGCCAGCAACGGGAGGGGGGGAGGCATATCCGGAGAGAGGTGGAGGAGCTCGCGCCGTTGGTGGAGCGGGCGGCCACGGCTTCACCGACTGCTGCAAAGGCTGCGAGGCGGCCAAGGGAGGGGGGGCGGCGGCGGCGAGCCACAAGTTCTGCCGAGCTCGCATCGACGGCCCAAATGCGAGGCGGCGAGGTCGAGGCTCCGGGAGGCGACGAAACCGATAGTCGACAGCGACGCGGAGGCGCCAGACCCGACAGCGGGCGCCACCTCGAGATTAGCGGCAGCGGCCCCGTACTCGTGGAGTTCGGCGGCAGCTGCAGCCCCCGTGGGGGCGCAGGCGCAGGTGGCCGCGGAGACCAGAGTTCCTGCGGCGCCGATGGAGGCGCGGAGCAGGGCGGGGCGCGCCCCGCCGAAGAACCTGGCGCCGACGCTGGCGGCGACGCGGAGATGAAGGACACCTGGGCGGTCGCGGGGGAGGCGATCTGCCGATGAAGCGCGGGCTGCCACCGCGTTGCGCGGCGAGCCCCCGCGCCAGCTGGGACCTGAACGGCCCGAATCAGGAGGTGGCGAAGCGGCAGCGCGAGTCACAGCGGCCACTGTTGCCGATCGGATCGCCACGGTGCACGGCGTGGACGGCGTTGCTCGGCTTCGGCAGCGCGAGCGAGAAGACGATTGACAATTCCATGAAGGAGGCGACCGACCACGCGGAGACGCGCGCGGCCATGTGCCGTTGCCAGCTGGACGACGGAACACGTTCTTCGCGAAGTTCAGAACGCGGAAAGGTCATGCATGGCACATCCGGGGTATCATGGAATTGTTGATATTGGTTTCGGTCTACTACATCAGGCATGATCAATGCGACGCAGGGCAAACGGTTACAGTCAAGAGCGTTTTCGGGGGCAGAGGAGGAGGTGGTCCAAGCTTGCGCTGCTCAGATGACGCACGCAATTGGCATCGCGCGGGAGCTGGAGAAGTTCCAGCGCAGGAATCGACGTGGAGATCGCCGCGACCACCACCACTTACTCGACGGCCCGGCGAAGCACGCAGCGTCGCGCCCTCGAAGTTGGCGGCGGCCATCCTGAGGGGTTCAGGCACTCGAGGTCGATGAGGTCGAGCGCGGGCGGCATGGACATCGCCATCGACGGCCTGGACGAGGGCTACACCGAGGGCGCCGGAACCCGCGAGATGATCCACCTGCCAGAGTACGAGGATAACTGGCACGAGGTCACTGGCGCGCATGCACCGCCGGAGAAGGGAACGGGGTGGCAAGGCAAAGGAGGTGGAGTTCCTGAAGAGCTTCCTGGTTTGGAGAAAGGTGGACATCAGCGAGGCAGATGACGGCGAGATCTTCGGCGCGCGCTGGGACAGCGTCAATGTGGGCGACAGCGCGGACGCGTATGTTCGCTCGAAAATCGGCGCCAAGGCGTTCAAGGGGAAGAACCCATAGAGGGAGGATATATTCGCGAGCGCGCCGCCGCGGGAAATAATCGAGATAACGCCGGGCAGTGCAATGGCGAGGTCCCAGATTGGAGCGCGTGCAATGCTCATTCTGAAAAGGACCTTGGTCCAGCGCGTTTCCGGGGCGCGCTTCCACCCGCCAGCGAAGCGCGAGATCTGCGTCCGCCTTCTGGCCGAGGACGCGGACGGGGGCAAGATCAGCCAGCTCTTGTTAACGACGCGCGGCGAGTGTGACGCGGCCAACGGCTGGGGGGAGTTCTACCAGGAGAAGCTTTGGTTGGCCCGCGCAAAGGCAGGAGCCCCCTGCCCGCGCGCGCTCAGTCGATTCTTCGGGGGCGGTGCACGGCGGCGATTTTGTGTTCGAGGGCGAGAGGAGTTCCAGAGCGATGCTCTGAGAGCAGATTAGCGGAAGCACGCGGTCGCCCAGAGGGGAGTTCTTTTCGGACCACGCCCGACAGGTCACAAGCACGCGGTGGCCCTGAATGGGTTAGTCACCTACGCGGATGCGAAGGGCCGCGGCGAAACCCACATCGACGTCGAACCAGACCCAGGCACGCGAAGATCATCGAGCACCAGTTGGGCTTGAAAAGGCAAGGGTTCGAAGGCTGCGACCACCCCGACCGAGAAGGTGCAATCTACTACGACGAGACCCCGCTGCAGGGCGAGAAGGAGGACAATGTGCACCGGCCCCTGTGCGCGCGGCTCAGCTGCGTTGCGCTGCCAGCGACTGCTGCGCGTGCATGGCGGCGCCGTCGGTCGGAGGCTTGGCAGGACTGAAGCGACTGGCGAGGCCCCCGATTGGCGAGCCCAGGCGCGCGCGGCACCTGGCCGAACCGCGCGGCGACAGCAACGCGATCGAGACCTGTTGCGATTCCGACTGGGCCGGTGATCTTGCAGATCCAAAGAACACGACCGCCGTCTGGGTTTCAACGGCGGTCCCCATGCTGAAGCGTTCGGCGAACACCCGGGGCGCCATTGCGTTGTCGAGAGGCGGGGCGGTCAGCGTCGGCATCCGATCCATTGGGGCCGACCTCGGCATGGAGCCGAAGATGCATGTGCACTACTGCGTGGAGCGGCATGTTCGGATGGAGGGGCGTCGGTAAGATCAGACACCACCACGCTCCGCTGATGCGGACCCAGCAGAAACGTATCTTGAATACGGCCAACATTAAGAAATTGCCTGGCGAGCAGGGACCTGCTGACCACGGCTCCAAGGAGCTGACGCGGTTTGTGATCGAGAGGCACCTCACCACGTGCGGCTTCTTCTGCACCCGAGGGAGTCACGGACTCCGGGCCCGGCGAGATAGGTGGCTTGAGCGGACGCGGTGGGGACCAGAGCCCGACGGCCGCAAAACAACCCGAAAGGAATGCGACGGCCGTGGTAATTGGGATTTTCGGAGGACGGGCTCAAGGCGAAGGCTGTGGACCCCGCGCTCCACTACCTGACGATGGTGGTGGTGATCAAGGCGGGCGTGTCCGGGGGGTCGGCCGAGGAGTTGAGCGGCCCGCGCTTCGTGTGCGGGCGCGGTCCCAGGGCGGCTGCTCACGGTAGAGGCAGTCGCGCGTCCGATCGTCATTCAGGTTCAAAAAATATTATCATGTGCGCCCCGTGCTCTGCGCTTACACGACATACATACTTTCGGCCCGTTGATTACACCACAAAGCATACCCCCACATAGCTTACACTACATTGCTTGCGCCGCACAGCTTACACCGAATCGTTTACACAGTATAGCTCTCACTCCATATATTCAATCGACACAGTACAATATCGCATTGTGTTGGGTCCACCCTGGTGAACATCGGATGATTTGCTCTTTCAATCCGGGCGTTGTTTTTTGATGTCGGCCTCCTGGGGCCCGTTACTGGGCCCTGGGACCATCACGAGTGGATGCACAACGAAAATAAATGGGTTTGGTGAAGGGGTCGGGACCTCTGTGGCCGCGCATTGAAAATATTGTATTGACGGATGTTTGGGTAGAGCTTCCAGAACACCCCTCACGAGACAGACCCGGAAGTTTTCAAGGGCTCCGAAACGGCGGGGGGGAAGTGGGAACAAGTCGGGCCTGGGCCGCCTTTGGCAACCCTTGGAAACGCAGGGGCACCTTGCCTGAGGTCCATCGCCGTCGCGCCCCCTTGTAGCTTGTCTTCTGCGGCGCGCAAAGGGCGGTGGGACGAAGGACGGCGAGCAGTGCTTCAGTCAGAGATGGCAGACGTACCCATGCCGCTACCTTTGTGGAAAGCGACCATTGGACAGGAGGCGTGTTGCAAAATGGTTTCAGATGTCCGAATCATGCCGGAGAAACGTGTCGAATACATGTAAAACATGTGCCAACATGTTTTCGACCATTGTAAACACATGTTCGAACAATGATTAAATCATTTGATTGTTGGAGTGTCCATGGTCATGGCATCCGCAACGCTACCCGTGCCGCGTTATTTTATTTTTGGGGCCGCCTCGAAGGCCCTCGTCGCCACAGGTGGATTCGCTTCAAAATTCTGGTAAGAACGCACCCTGGGAGAGGTCCGTAGAGTAGCGGTATCGTTACCTCTCTGGTTTCCCATTCGAAAGCCCCCTCCAAAAGTAGGCGGTTGCAAAGGGTGTGGCGTCGGGCCTCCTCGGGGCGCGGCGGAGAGCTCTATCGAGGTCCCTGCCCGCCCCCCAGAGTGCCCCCCAGGGCGCCACTTGCAAGCCACACCCTTTGCAAGTCACACCCGTCGGAGTCTCCGAAGGAGGCCTGTTTAGAAGCCTCCGATGCCTTCTCAGAGTCCCCCCCGCCTCCTTCGAAGACCGCCCCCCTTCGCGCCCACCCCCGCTTGCGCGCCGCCAACTCGCACCCATCATGCCCATGCTCACCGACCGCCAGAACGCAACTGTGGGCGCAGTCGCGGGCGTGATCGACATCTCGGGCGTTGCTGGAAGTGCCCCTGGCCCAAGGGTGCCCCCAGGATATCCAGGGAGCCCCCGCGGCCTCCAGAGCATCCCTCGCCGGGCCCAGAGGACCCCCGGGGGCTCCAGGATGGAGCGAAGAGCCGGGTGCACCCCGAGCCAGGGGGTCCTTCCGCGACCCCCGAGCCTCACGTGCATCCAGTGGGCGTACTACCTGAAGAACGCCCGCCAGCAGGGGATGCCCATGACCTGGGACCCGCGGGTGCTCTACCGGGGCTACTCGGCAAACTGCGCAAACGTGGCGGCCGGTACTTGCTTCCAATTCGCGCTCAACGGCATCATCGAGGGCGCGCTGCGGGGCGGCGGGGCGAGGTCCCTCTCGCCCTCGGAGCAGGTGTTGAGTCGGGCATGCCCCCCTAGAGGCAGATTTCCGACGGAAAATGAAACATAGCCCCAACAAAGATATTCAGAAATCGTGAAATGATCGACAAGTCGTTCCCAGACGATTCTTTTTTTAGTATTTTGGAATGTTACCCCTGTAGAAGGACAGGCCCGATTTACAGCAGGTGGCCTCCGGCTTCGCCGCTGGCTTCGCCTCGGGGGTGGTTGCCTCGCCCACGGAGCTGGTCATGACGCAGCAGCAGGTGAAAGGATCAGGGCAACGTCAGAAGTCGAAGAAGAACAAGCGGCATAGGCATAAACTGCTGGCGTTCAGCGCGGATTTCTTGGATCCGCCCGACGGTGCCTCTGGCGCCGCCGCTGGCGCGCTCCGCGCGCCCGGGAGGGGGGGTTCAGCGCAGATCCAGTGGTGAAGGCGGTGGCGAGGACGGCGGTGGGACAATGGGACAGAGGTACAGTGGGGACAGTGGTGGGGACAATCGGGACAGTGGTGGGAACAGTGGGACAGCTCAGTGGGACAGCGGAGGAGTCAGTGGGACAGTGGGGACAGTGGGGATAGTCGGGCAGTGGTTGAGGCCGTGGAGAACGTGGGGGGAGTGGGACCGTGGTGGAAACAGTGGTGGGGACAGTGGGGACATTGCGACAGTGGTGGGGGCACTGGTGGAGACAGTAGGGACGGTGGTGGAACCAGTGGGGACAGTGGTGGTGAGGACAGTGGTGCTGGGAACAACAGTGGGGGATGTGGTGCGGACGGTGGTAGGGACCGGGAGTCGTTTGCTGGCGGTGAGGGGGGGGGAGGGGTTCGAACCGGTAGTGACCCCCCTCCGGTTTTCGAGGGGGGGGGGTCGAACCGGTAGTGACCCCCCCCGGTTTTCGAGGGGGAGGGGGGGGGTAGGGGAGGGGGGAGGGTTTTGCCGGGGGTTTCCAGGAGGGGGGGGGGGTCCACGGTAATTGAAGCGGCGGTGGATCACGTTCTCTCGAATATCAGATGCACATGTTCTTCATGTTTTGTCAAAATCCGCCTGTAGGGGGGCACGCTTGACCTAAGCCTAACAGCGGCTGCGCCTCCCTGAGGGCGTTCCGCTGGGGGTGCCCAGATCGTCCCGAACGGCCGCCGAAGGCCAGCGTTGAGGCCCGAAAGCCACCGGGGATCGGATTAGGGGGGGGGATGCACGGCCTCAGATCGCCGATTCATCGCACATGGGGCCTGATAGCCAAATTTGCCGTCGCTGTTCTCGCTGTCAAAGGCCTGTCGCCGATTAGCTGACGGTTTATCGCCGAGTCCAGCAGGCAACTCCTGCGAGGGTACATTCAAGATCGGCGCTGGCATATCTCTGGTCGATATTTGGCCTACTCTGGCTTAGTCCCGCGCGCGTCATCTGGCTTACTCCCGCTTGATCCGGCCTCTTCCCGGGATTCATCCAGCTGGATCCGAAATTTAGTCTGGCCCAGTCTGCCTTAGTGGCCCCTGAGATAGGCTTAAGAGCTTTCGCGTCGTTCTGACGAAGACCTCTGAGGAATTGCCTCCTGACGTCTCCAAGTCTGGAAAAAGAAAAGCCTGGCGAAGGACCCAACCATATTCAACTGTAAGTACCGCGATCGCGTGTGTAATCTTCGGTGGGGTTTCTTATTGGGTGGGGGCGCGAAATGTGTGAGGGTGTCTCCTTCTGTGGGCAACGAGGCGGTGCCTGCTTTGCAATACGCTATGCAGGGCTCCGCAGCTCCGCAGGTCGCTCCACCCAGGTGGAGCTCCCTGTGGGGCCGCGAAACGCTGTCCTGGGTGGGGGAGACGCATGCGAACACCGCCACTGGGGCCGTAGGTGGAGCACGTGGGGAGACGAAGCGCTGTCCTGGGTGGGGGAGACGCATGTGAACACCGCTACCGGGACCTTAGGTGGAGCTCCCTGTGGGGCCATGAAACGTTGTCCTGGGTGGGGAGACGCATGCGAACACCGCCACTGAGGCCTGAGGTGGAGCTCCCTGTGGGGCCACGGAACGTTGTGCTGGGCGGGGGAGACTCATTCGAACACCGTCACGGGGGCCTTGGGTGGAACTCACTCTGGGGCCACGAAACGCTGTCCTGGGTGGGGGAGACGCATGCGAACACCGCAAAGGGTGCCTGAGGTGGAGCCCTTTGCGGGGCCACGAAACGCTGTCCTGGGTGGGGAGACGCACTGGGGCCTGAGGTGGAGCTCCCTGTGGGGCCACGAAGCGCTGTCCTGGGCGGGGGAGACGCATGCGAACACCGCCACTGGGGCCTTAAGTGGAGCTCGATGTGGGGCCACGAAGCGTTGTCCTGGGTGGGGGAGACGCATGCGAACACCGCTAATGGGGCCTGAGGTGGAACTCGTTGTGGGGCCACGAAACGCTGTGCTGGGTGGGGGAGACGCATGCGAACACCGCCACTGGGGCCTTAAGTGGAGCTCTTTGCGGGGCCACGAAGCGCCGTACTGGGTGGGGGATATGCATGCGAACACCGCCACTGGGGCCTTGGGTGGAGCCTCCCATGGGGCCAGCGAAACGCTGTGCTGGGTGGGGGAGACGCATGCGAACACCGCCACTAGGGCCTTAGGTGAGGCTCCCTATGGGGCCGCGAAACCCTGTGCTGGGGTGGGGAGACGCATGGGAACACCGCCATTGAGGCCTTCGATGGGGCTCCCGGAGGGGCCACGAAACATGTAAGGGGTGACGCGATGATGGTGACGATAACGGTGGTGATCAGGACGTCGATGATGGTGATGACGACGATGACATGGCGATGACGATGATGATGCTGATGCTGATGATGATGACGACGACGACCGCGACGACGAGGACATGAGCAGGGCAGAGGCAGGGATGGGAGGAGGGAGGAGGGGGGGAAGAAGGAAGGAAGGAAGGAAGGAAGGAAGGAAGGAAGGACGGACGGAAGGAAGGAAGGAAGGAACGCGGGGCGTTGTCTCTTCAAAACGAAGACCCAACACCATAGGATGGTTGGGAAATATTGCAGTTAAGCATACATTTTCGAAGGTCCGCGCGGATTTGTTGGATCTGCGCTGGACTCCCTTCCCTGGAGCGCGGAGCGCGCCAGGAAGCGGCGCCGCAGGCGCCGCCAAGGGGGCCCAGCGCCGATCAGAGAAATCCATGCGGACCCCCCCCCCCAGTTTGTCTTTGTGCCATGAACTGCTCCCCGATTCCAGGAACTGCCTCCTGACCCCCCACTTGAGTCGGTCCCCTCCTGCCGATTGACTCCCAAAGGAGGCTCCATCGGCGCGAGCGTTGCCCGCGTCGCCGCGGGCGGCCCCAGCACCTGCCTGAGGGGGCTTTCCGCCACGTGCTTCCGCGAGGGCATCTTCGCGGCGGCCTACCTCGGCCTGGCGCCGGTGCTGCGCGCGAAGCTCCGCGAGGCGGCGCCTGGGGCGAACGAGGAGGCCTTCGGCAGCAAATCATGGGAGCCTCGTAATCAGCCACGCGCAGAGGGGGGGGGAAGGGGGGAGGGCTTCAGCCTCGGGGTCGTCTTCGCTGACATTAACGCGTAAGCTACCTGCGTAGGTAAGGTCGCGCGTATGCGCCCTCGCTTCCGGTGTGGCGTGCCGCTCTGGCAGCCCGCGTAAGCCACGGCGTAAGGTCGCTGTGTCATCTCGCGCAAGACCCGCTTCTGATCGTCGCTACATGTGGAGCGAGAGTCTCTCCACGCCGATGGCGCCGAGGCATTGGCGATGCCAAGCTATCTGCCGAGTCCATTTGTCAGCCACGCGCAGAAGGGGGGTAGGGGGAGGGGGGATGGCTTCTTAGAAGCACCCCTGCTTCTTCGAAGGCGCGGGCCTTGTCTATAGATGTAGGGCCAGAGCCTTCTAAGGAGCAGCCTCCCTCCAAGAAGCACTCCCCCCTCCCCCCACCCCCTTGCGCGCGCCGCCAAATACCTTCGCAATTCGGTATTTAGTGTGCGTTCGCGTCGATGCACGCAGGGTAATCGATGAGATAGTGCCGATGCTGCGTCGATTCAGTGTCGTAGCGTCGACTGGCATCGATTCGATCGAGGCGCGCACATATTCGGATCATATGATGACGAGGATGAGGAGGAGGACGGGAAGGAGGAGGAGGAGAAGGAGGAAGAGGATGATAAGGAGGAGAAGGAGAAAGAAGAGGATGCTCAGGAGGAGAGGGAGAAGGAAAAGGAGGAGGAGGAGGAGGAACCAGCGTCGAGGTGAAGGAAGACGAGCATAGAAGAAGGGACTGGAGGAAGCAACGGGGGATCCGGCACGATGGCCCGGGAGGCTCCCCTGAGTTGCCACCGAAGAGGCCCTGCGCGTGCCGGCGGCGCTGGGAGGGGCGGCGGTGCTCGTGGGCGGAAAGCATACCCGTATCCACGGCCTCGCGGGCTGGGCCCCTGGGCCGCGACCCCACGGGTACAGGGTTTCCTCCTCCTCATCCTCCTCCTCCTCCTCCAACTCCCTGTCCTCCTCCTCCTCCTCCTCCTCCTCCTCCGCCCTGTCCCCGTCTCCTCCTCCTCCTCCTCTTCCTCCCTGTCCCCTCCCCTCTCCTCCTCCTCCTCCTCCTCCTCCTCTCCTCCTCCTCCTCCTCCTCCTCATCCTCCTCCTCCTCCCTGTCCCCCCCTCATTATCCTTCTTCTCCTCCTCCTCCTCCTCCTCCTCCTCCTCCTCCTTGTCCTCCTCCTCCCTGTCCCCCCCTCCTCCTCCCTGTCCCCCCCTCCTCTTCCTCCTCCTCCTCCTCCTCCTTCTCCTCCTCCTCGTCCTCCCCCTCCTCCCTCCACCTCTCCTCCCCTCCTCCTGCTCCTCCTTCTCCTCCTCCACCTCCTCCTCCTCTTCCCCCTCTTCCTCCAGCTCAAGTTGCATTTGGCTCAGTGGCTTTCTTAGGGAATTGGGGAGAAGGCCCACGTGCGACTTCCTTTACCAGTCCACACTGAGGCGCAACCAGCGCTCCGTTTCTGGCCACGTCGCTCAAGGAGCCGGCGTGGCACGTGCGCGCTCGACGGGGGCGTGCAGAAGCGCGACATCTACTTCGGGCCTGGAGGGGCCAGCGGACCACTGGTCTGGGCGCCTTGCTGGACGCAGCAGCCCGCCTACTCGACGGCCACCACGGATCATCATCAGGGATGGCGCCTCGAGCGGATGCTGAATGGTTGTGCAAGTCGTGCCTCGACAAGCGCGGCGAGCCGTTCAGCAACAGGGGCGAGAACAAGAGTTGCCACTAGTGCAAAGTGGCTAAACGGAAGTGTTACTGGAAGTCTGCCTACAGCGGGCCGCCCTCTCGCTCGGTCAGGCCCCCCGGAGGCGCCGCGGCCCAGTCCAAGGAGGTCACTACCTTGCAGAAGAAGGTCACGGCCACGGAGAAGCAGCTTCGTGAAGCACAGGCTGCGGCTCAGGCCAAGATGCACGGGGCGGGGACGAGGGCATGGAGGAGGAGGTGGACGTGGAGGACTTACGCCGGGAGGAGCTCAAGCTTGTTGAGGACGACAGAAGTTCCACGCGATCGATGGCACGGAGGCCCTGGTCGCGAAGAACAAGGCCAGGATCAAGGATATTCAGGCCAAACGGCTCTCGGCCAAGCCCCTGGGAGCCAGTGGCAGATCCTCCTCCTCCTCCTCCTCCTCCTCCTCCTCCTCCTCCTCCTCCTCCTCCTCCTCCTCCTCCTCCTTCTCCTCCTCCTCCTCCTCCTCCTCCTCCTCCTCCTCCTCCTCCTCCTCCTCCCCCTCCCCCTCCCCCTCCCCCTCCCCCTCCCCTCCCCCCCCCCCCCCTCCCCCTCGTCCTCCTGGTTTTCCCACTCCTCGTGCCCGTGCGACCGCGTACCCGCGGGATCGCGCCCCGGGGTCCAGACAGCAAGGCCGCGGGTATGGGACACGCTCGCCGCTCGTGAGGTGTGCGGGATCCTCTCGCACCCGTTCGACACGGTGAAGACTTGCATGCAGGGGGACATCGAGCGGTCGTCGGAGAGGGAAGTTGTGCTCGTTTTTGTTATTCCTTACTTTGCCGATCGGCGCGGGCCCTCGGACCCCCTTTCCCTCCCCCCTGAATTGGATCTTGGCTGTTTGGGGCGTCTTTTTTCGAGCAGGCGGAGTCCCCACTGTCGCAAACAGTCGCACTAAGCAGAGGTCCGGAGCCAAACTCCTCCCCTCCCCCCTTTCCGCCCAATGTCGAAACGCCGAGAAAAAAAAACGCTCACCTTCCCCTGCAACAAAAACCCTCATGGCAGCAAAGGTGAAGAAGAGGCGGGCCGAGGAGTAGCAGACCGGCGAGTGAAGACGTGCATTGCCTGGAATTGCTAGGAAGCGCACGGTCCTGTGCACAATAGTGCTGTTGTGGAAGGGATCGTGGCCGTCTGGGCCAAACAGGTAGCCGGCATTGGCGCGAGAGCATGGTTCCTGCGTGAGTTGTAGGGAATTCTCGGGCGAAGCGGTTGCCGGACGGGCGACCTGGGGGGGCGATCTCTCGGGCTCCCCGTCCCCGTGTGGGACTCTTCCGAGGCTCATTCTTACCAGTCTTAGAAACGTCAATCGAAACGCCGCTAGGGAAACAGGGCACATCGGGGGGGGCTACAGCGAGGACAAAACCGCCCCAGTGCGTTCCAGAACGATCTCAGAGCGCTCTGGAGCGCTCTGAGAAGGACGCGACGCCCGGCACATCCTAAAGCCGCCGGATCTCGGAGATTCTCGATTTGTCCCGACCCGATGTTATCCTCCTCTTGGCTCCGTCTTGTTCCGAGGGAGAGCTGAGACAACGGTCGTTGGCCTTTGAGGGGGGCCCTATTCGCCCCAGCAGTGGGGGGAAGACGAACTTCGAGAATAGATTTGAACACGTCGGGAACCTTGAGACGTGTGTCTATTTTTTCTGTGTCTCCCTGGGCCCTTCTGCTTGTCTCGATTTCGCTCTGCTCCGAAACAGTCGGAGGTCCGCGCGGATCTCTTGCACCGCTGGATCCGCCGCCCTGGCGCGCGGGGCACGTCAGCAAGAAAACAGCAAAGGCCTGCGACAGTTTATGCGCATGGTCGGGGACTTCTGCTTAGCATTGAGTCGGGCGTGTCCCTCTACGGGAGGAATATTCAAACATGGTCAAAACATACTCCGGTGCAGATCTTTTTGTATGTTTAATTGTTCGTCCAACATCCGCCCGTAAGGGGAAATGCCAGACCTAAGAGAAGGCCGAAGGCCTTTTCAGAAGGCGGCTGGACTTCTCAGCGATGGGTGGTGACAGGCATGGGGGGGTCGCATCGACCCCCAATGGCCCATGACTCGCCGGTTGGGGTCTGATAGCCCCACCCCGCCCGAGAACGCGGGGATTCGCTATCGGGGGTATGCCGCACATGGGGGGGTGGCATCGACCCTCAATGGCCCACGAATCGCCGGTTGGGGTCTGATAGCACCCCCCCGCTCGAGAACGTGGGGATTCGCTATCGGGGGTATGCCGACGATCTCTTGGCGATGTAACGCAGATTCCAGGTCGATATGTCAACCGCCCCCCCCCTATGCCAGTCCCCCCCTTTAACGTTGCCCCTCACGAGGTCGGTGTACGGGACCACACGCCAGACCGTCAGCGCCATCTGGGCCAGGGGCGGCGCCGCGGCGCTGTACCGCGGCATCGAGTTTCGCTTCCTGCGGCAGGCGTGGCAGGTGTGGGTCCTGGACCTGCTGCGGGAGAGGCCTGGCGGCGGCCTCCAATCTGGGCCTCCCACCGGGGGATCGCTCCGCATCGCCGATGCATCAACGGTGCATCGACAATGCTCGCCATCGCCATGGGGGAAGCGGGTCCTGCGGGAAACCGGTCCTGAGGTTTTTCGCCGTTTTCGGGCCCTCGGGCGAATTCCGGGGCTCGACGTTTCGCACAAATCACGACGTTGGGGGTTTGGGGACGGGGGTCGATGCAAACGGGGGTCAGCCAGAGCGCCAGATCTTGCAGCATCCTGCAGAGGCAGGGGTGCATTAACCGGAGTCAGCGCGCAGGATCCTGCAAAACCTGACTGACCCAGGTTTGCATTGACCCAGGTCAGTGCGTCCCCGATCGGAGAGGTCATGCCCTTCGGGGGCTGAATTCTTCACCCCAGCAAAGTTGGGCGATTCCCCAGTTGAAGCCTTCAAAACCCACCAAAACACCACGCACGCACCCAAAACACTAAACACCACCAAGCACCAAACCTAAAACACCTAACTCCAAACCCAAAGCACGAAACAACAACCCTAAAACACCGAACACCAGATACCAAGCACCAAACCTCAAGCCCCAAACACCAAACCCCGAACCCCGAACCCCGAAGCCCAAACACCAAGCCCTAAAAACCAAATCCCAACTACCAATCCCTACACATCAAACCCCCCACACCATCTCCAAACCCCAAACACCATGCACCATGCACCTTACAACCTACCCCATACACCAAACCCCAACCCGCAAATCCCGAACACCAATCACCAAATCCCGAACCCCAAACACCAAATATCACACCAAATCCCGACCCCCAAACAACAAACCCCAAACACCATACGCCATGAGCAACATAAGTACATACCCATACACCAAACCCCAAACCCCAACCCAAAACACCAAACACTAAATCCCAAACACCAAACACCAAATTCCAAACACCAATCACCATCAGGTGGAGGGGGAGGGTGCTGAGGATAGGGGAGGGGGAGGGGGGAGCACGAGGAAGGAATAATATGGAGGGGCGGTAATGCAGATGATGATGATGATGATGATGATGATGATGATGATGATGATGATGATGATGATGATGATGCTGATGATGATGATGATGATGATGATGATGATGATGGTGATGAGGAAGATGAGGATGACGATGAGGATGAGGATGGTGGTGAATACGATGATGATTATGATGATGGTGAATATGATGATCATGCTGACGATGATGATTATGATGATGATGCTGTTGATGATGGTGACGATGGTGATCATGGCGACGATGATCGTGGTTTTTGTGGTATTGATGATGATGATGATGATGATGATGATGATGATGATGTTGGTGATGATGACGACGGTGGCGATGATGATAATGATGCTGATGATGAAGAACCAGAGGCTTATGATGATGCTAATGGTGGTGATGGTGATGGTGATGATGAAGATGCGGATGGTGGTGATGGTGATGGTTGATGATGATGATCATGATGACGATGAGGATGATGATGGTGGTGATTACGATGATGTTTATGATGATGATGAAGATGATGATCGTGATGACGATGATGCCTTTGATGATGCTGATGATGATGATGATGATGATGCTGATGATGATGATGATGATGATGATGATGATGATGATGATGATGATGATGATGATGATGATGATGATGATGATGATGATGATGATGATGATGATGATGATGATGATGATGCTGATGATGCTGATGATTATGATGATGATGATGGTGGTGGTGATGATGCTGATGCTGATGCTGATGCTGATGATGAAGGTGGGGATGATGATGATGAGGAGGAGGAGGGGGAGAAGGAGAAGGAGGAGGAGGAGGAGGAGGGCCATGAGGAGGTGGAGAAGGAGGAGCAGGAGGAGACGGAGGAGGAGAAAGAGGAGGAGGTTGGAGGAGGAGGAGGAGAAGGAGGAGGCTGAGGCGATACAAATAAGGAGGTGGAGGAGGAGGGGTTGGAGGAGGAGGAGGAGGAGGAGGAGGAGGAGGATGAGGAGGAGGAGGAGGAAGAAGTGGAGCGAGAGGGAAGCCGAAAGCCTTTCGGACTCGAGGGAAAGGGGTCCTGCGGGAAGCGGGTCCTGGAGGTTTTTCGCCGCTTTCGGATTCTGGGGACCTCAGCTGCCGCCCACGGAGTTCTTTAGAGTTTCCGAGGGCGTCATAGGTTTTATTAGGGTTCTTGGTGCTCCTCTGGGATTCCTTCAGGGTTCCTTGGAATTCGTGGCAGGATTTCAAAGGTTTCCCGAGGACTCCCTCTGAATTCCAGTTTGGCCCATTTCTTAGGATCCCTGAGGGATCTGTAGAGGTTCCCTACGAATCCTGCGGGATCTTTTTGACGGTTGCGTCGGATGCCTTTGGGTTCCTTAGGGATTGGGGGATTGGGGAGGTTCTTTTGGATTATTTCAGGGTGTTTCACGGATCCTTTGTATGGATCGTACACAATCCAAGTCGCGCCCAAGAAGGCCCGAGAGGGCCCCAAGACGGCCCCAAGAGAGGCCCAAGAGCGAAAACACGAACTGAGAATCCGAGCTTTCTACCCCGAGAGGTTCTCGGGAAGTCCCAAGAGGCCCCCAATCGGATCCAAGAGGCCCCCACAAAGTTCCCAAGAGGGCCGACGAGGTTCCAAGACGTCTCCCAAGGTGGCCCCAAGAGGCATAACTCATCGTTTTACGATTGGGCTTTGACGGGTTTCATTTGTTTCGGTCTTTTGGCATCCCGATGCTTCAAGACGGCCCAAGAGGCTTCCAATACCGCTCCAATATTGAGGAAGAGGCTTCCAAGAGGGCCCCAAGACGGCCCGCGAGGGCCCCAAGACGTTGCTTGAGGCGCCCGAGAGGGCCCCAAGAGCCCCAAGAGAGGCCCAAGAAGGGGAACGCGACCCAACAGCAGAGCGTTCCCCCCAAAAGGCCCACAGGAGGCCGCAAGAGGACCCCAAAAGCTTCCCGAGGGCCCAAAAGGCCTCTAGGAGACGTCCAAGAGGTTTTAAAATAGCCCAAGAGTGCCCTCGATGCGTCAAAACTGCTTCCAGGAGGCCCCCGGGAGGCTTCCGGATTGCCTCAATCTGGCCGCAGGTGGCCTCAAGTCGGGCCTCCACGCAGCCAAGACGGCCAATGACGGCTTCAGATTGCAGAACCGATGCCCCCAAGGGACCCTCAGACGCCCCCCCAAGAAGCACCCAAGAGGTGCCTCCAACAGCCAGTTGACGAAGCATGCGGAACACCCCAGAAGCTCCTCAGATGCCGTCGCGCGCCTGTGCTTGATAGCGTTGTCCAAGATCGTCCAGCGCCCCCCCGGCCTGGGCTAGAACCTGAGCGCGCGCGAAGCGCGCGCGATGGTTCTAGTATATACATATATATAATTATATATATATATATATATATATATATATATATATATATATATATATATATTATATATGTGTGTGTATGTATGTATGCACATTTTCAGCTGCCTGCGGCAAGTCCTGCCACCGTGCCAGTCCAGCATGTTGGGTGGCCACTGACTTCTAGGGGTCACGGGAGTCCGTCACGTGTGACAATTTTTGGGTTTTTCGAAGGTTTTGTGGGCCTCGTGATGGGTTCTTTAATGGGGCTTCTTGGGGCCTCGTGTCAGCGCCTCTGGGGGGCTTCTCGGGGGCTGTTGGGGACTCCCAGGGCCACCTGAGAACGGTCTTGGGCCGTATGAGCGCTTCGGGTTCCCAAGGCCGTCTTGGGGCTCTCTTGGGGCCTTGAGGGCCGTCTGAGCGCCTTTTTGGGGGTCCTCTTGGGCCGCTCTTGAGCCAACTTGGCACCCTCAATGGGCCGTCTTGGGGTCCTCTTGGTGCCCTCCTGGGCCGTCTTGAGGCCATCTTTGGGGATTCGTGGGCTGTCTTTCTTGGGCCGGCGAAAGCTCGAAACAGCGAGAGTGCGAAAATCTCACAACCCAGAAAATGTGGCTCCTTCGGGGTTCGCTGGAGACTCTATTGGAGTCCTCTTAGGCCGTCTTGGAGGCCTCCTGGGCGTCTCGAGGAGATCGCTCTCCTGCTGCCCCTCCACCAGGCTGTCCCCCATGCTCTTCCCTGTGGGTAGTTGTCGACTTGAGTTCATGTTAGACGGCCCTTGGACTCGAAAGCGGCCCCCGAGAGTCGACATCGAAGAAAAACCGCCAGTCGGAGATCTGGTCTCAGATCTGGCCCTCTCATGAGGAAAATTCCCGGAGACCTCGCGCGGCGCGCAATCGTTGTAGTTAGTATTTCGTCAACACGTCTGCCCCGCCGCGCGGCGATCGCTCCAACGCAAGTTGGATCCGACGCAATTTTGGCCCCACGTTGCCGCGCGAGGCCTCGAGGATGTCCCCCACAAGTCTCGAGTGTTCTTAAGCCCCCTTGGCCACAACGCGCGGTATGGCCTCCCTCCCCCCTTTCCCTCCCCTCAATAACTTAACGCTGCCCCCACCCCTGGTGCGTCTCCAGCACTGCCGCAGTGCGTCCGGCACCTCAGTCTCTGGTGCCAGACCCACACGGATCCACACAGACCCACACCACGTTGTGCCCCTTTCCGCCTCCCCCCCTCCTCCCTCCCCTATTCTGCGCGCTATATCGACGCGAGATCACACGAATGCCCTTTTGTCGGACGGGGCCAGGACAAGGATTAATCCGTTCGAGAGCGTTCCGGAACGCTCTGAGAATGCCGCGACTTCCGATGCATCCTCCAGAGCCGCCAGATCTGAGAGATTCTCGATTTGTTCTCGCCCGATGCCATCCTCGTCCTGGTCCCGTCTTGTTCGGAGGAGGGCGAGTTGAGACAACGATAGTTGGCCTTCGGGGAGGGGGGCCCTCGTTGCCCCGGCTGGGCGCAGCTCGGAAAACATGGGAACTGTGGGGGCAGACGAACATGGAGAAAATTGTTGACGCTTTGCGTATCCCCACCAGCCCATCCAGAAACGATGCTCAGGGGAGTTGAGGTGATCAGGGAAGTCGGGGAGCATGCAGAATAACAAAGGGCGGGGGAAGCTGTCACAGACCCCGAGAGGGGGAGGATGGAAGAGGAATCGTCGTCGTCGTCGGAGGAGGAGGAAGAGGAGGAGGAGGAGGAGGAGAATGAGGAGGATATGGAGTAGGGCGAGGACGAGGAGGACGAGAAGGAGGAGAAGGAGCAGAGGGAGGAGAAGGAGGAGAAGGAGGAGAAGGAGGAGGAGGGGGAGGAGGAGGAGGAGGAGGGAAGAGGAAGAGGTGGTTGAGGAAGAGGAAGAGGAAGAGGACGGCGAACCGAAGAGCCAGAAGCGTCTTGAATGCCTTTTCGGAAATCCTCTTGAGGCTTCTTGGGGGTCTCTTGGGAGCCTCTTGGAGGCCTCTTGGGCGCCTCTTGGGGACGTCTTGGCGCCTCTTGGGGCGCTCTTGGGGGCTGTAGGGGCGCTCTTGGGGCCATCTTGGAGGGAGTCGATCAAACAAGAGGGGAGCTCCAATTAGCCTCCCCCCTCGGGAGCCCCATAAATCGCCTCTTGGGCCCCTCTTGGAGCGCTCTTGGCGCTCTTGGGCGCTTTTGGGGCCGTCTTGGGGCTCTCTTGGGCCTCTCGTGGGGCCCTTTTGGGCCATCTTGGAGCCATATTGAGGCCTCGGATGTCCATCGGAAGCGAAAAGGCGAGAAAGCAAAAAACATTGTTTTTTCCTTGAGGTTTTGGGACGATGTTGGCCTCGTCGGGGCCTCCTTAGGGAGCTCTTTGGCCACTTGGAGCCGTCTTGGGATCGTCTTGGGGCCTCTTGGAGCATCTTGGGAGCCATCGTGAGCGATCTTGCGCTATCTTGAGCCATCTTGGAGCTCATCTTGGGCTCTCTGAGGCGCTTTTGAAGCCATCTTTGGCCATCTTGGACGCTCCAACGCGCCGCGGCCCCCCCCGTCCAGGTCCAGGGGAGGGGGTAGGGGGAGGGGTAAACCCCTCCCCAAGGGGGAAGAGGGAGGGGTGGAAGAGGATCTGCTCTAGACCACCTACGCCCAGAGGGCTGGCGGGATATAGTTCATGGGGGAAGACGAACATCGAGAAAATATAGTTCAATCGAGCGGGAGTCCCAGGACGTCTGCCTATTTCTCCGAATGCTCCTCCTGGCTTCGTCCTATCTTGCTGCCCCTCCACGCAGGCTCTCCCCCGTGCTCTTCCCCTCGTCCGCCAGCCTGGCGCCGCGCGCCGCGGCTGGCGCCATCACCGAGGGCGCCCCCGCAGGCGCCCTCGCCTGCTGAGCGCCCCGCGGCGCGCCCGCCGAGGGCCGTCGGCGCCCGCGCCGCGGCAGCGCGAGGCGCCGGTGGGGCGCCCCGCGCCCTCCTCGCGCGGGCGGGGAGCCCGCGCAGGGGGGTGCCGTCGCTGCCCGGCGTCCCCTCTGCGGCGGTTCGAAGAGCTCAGGCTCAAGTCGGGCCTGTCCCTCTACAGGAGGAGTATTCAAACATAGTCAAGAACTAGTCTGGGGACTTCTTTTTCAACATGTTTTAGCATTTCCAGGGCATCTTTCAATTTTTCACTTGTCGTCCAAAATTCGCCTGTAGGGGGACATGCCCGACCTAATCCTAGGCCTCCCAGATAGAGTCGGAGCAGATGGGGTCGGAGGATCGCGCCGCCTCGCCGATAGATCGGCCATGCGGCTCGATGTCCAGCCCGATCTGCTTCACGTCGACGTCGCCGATGTATCACCGACATCGACGGTGCATCGCCGGCGCATCGCGGATGCATCGCCGATGCATCGCCGATGTATCGGCGATGCTGCGCGACCCTCCGACCCCATCTATTCCGACCCCATTTGGGAGGCCTCTAAAGATCGGGGCCCTGAGGGATGGGCGCCCTTAGGACAGGACGAAACCCAAAGGCGGATCTGCATCGTTCGAGACAGCTCGTCCTCTTGTCAAGAGAGGAAAACATCCCGGGACCCGACAATCGACGTTGACCAGACGGCCTCGGGCGATTACCAAACAGCTTTGCCCTGTTCGGTTCTTTCTTGGGTGCGTTTACTGGACGGCTTCGCTTGCAGGGGTGTTTATTATGGGGGTGGACTTTCCTCCCTCTGTCAGGGTTAAGTCGGGCATGTCCCTCTACAGGACGAATATTCCAAAATAGTTTTAAAACATGGGGGCGATTTTTCGAGCATTTTTTTGCTATGTTTGAACGTGTTTGGGGTATTTTAGATTTTTCGTCCAAAATCCCCCTGCAGGAGGACATGCCCGACCTGAGATTACGCGCGTGGATGTCCTGCCCTCTGTCAGGGCCCCGCATCGAGCTGCACGTCGAGCCGTATCGGCGATGCATCGGCGACGCGGCGCGATCCTCCGACCCCGTCTACTCCGACCCCATTTGGGAGGGCTCTATCATTGTGGGGGTGGATTTCCTGCTCTTTGCACCGCCGACCCTCGCCCGCAGGGCCCGCTGCCGGCCGCGCCCGCGAGCGGGGGGGGGGTCGTTGCGAGGGCGAGGGGCTGCAACGGAAGGGCACCGACGACGGCGGGCTCGCGCCCCGTCGATCGGCGGCGACCAAACCACCCCAACCCAGCCCGAAGGTTATGATGTTCCAGCCTACTGTAGCCTTGATCACCAGAAAGAGTTTCGAGCACCAGGAAATTACCGAAATTTGCGGGTTTTCACGTGTCGGGCCTTGGGAGACACTCGTTCGACATTGTTTCGACACGGTTTCGAAATTATTGCGAAGGCCTTACGGCCGGTGCCGCCGACCCTGAAGACGACCAAGATGAAAACGAGGGGGGGGAGGAGCAGGAGGAGGAGGCAGAGGAGGTGCACGAGAAGAGGGAGCAAAGGGGGGAGGAGGAGGAGGAGGAGGAGGAGGAGGAGGAGGAGGAGGAGGGGGCCGTCTTGCGGCTTCTTGGGTTTTTGGGGGGGCTTCTTTATTGCTGGCCTCTTGGGGCCTCTTGTGGGCCTCTTGGGGTCTTCTGGTGCTTCTTAGGTACCTCTTCGCCCGGGGGGGCCGACCACCCCCCCTTTTGGAGCCGACTTGGCGGTGTCGTGGGCAGCTCCCCTCCCCCGAGGGGAACCGACCACCCCTCGTGGAGCGGACGTGACGATCTCGTGGGCAGGGAATCCCCAGAAGAGAACCGCCCTCCCCCCCCCTCCCCCCCGGGGTATCTGGGGGCGCCCCTCCCCCCCCCCCCCTCGGGGGGAAGGGATAAAAGGGAAGGGGCTTCCCTTCGAGTAAGCTACGACGTTGCTCAGATTGACTTCCCCTCGATCCGCGTCGCGGCCGCTCCCCTCCCCCGAAGGGAGCCCCCGGGCTCCCTCCCCCTTCGCTGGGCATCTGGGTGGGACCCCCTGGTGCACCCCACCCCACCCTCCCCCACGGGGGAGGGGATAAAGGGGAAGGGGCTTCCCTTCGAGTAAGTTACGACGTTGCTCAGATTGACTTCCCCCCGCGTCGCGGCGGCTCCCCTCCCCCCAAGGGAGCCGCCCGGGGAGGAACCGTATCTTGGTGGGACCCCTCCCCTCCACCCCCTCCCCCCCGGGGGAAGGGATAAAAGGGAAGGGGCTTCCCTTCGAGTAAGCTACGACGTTGCTCAGATTGGCTTCCCCCCCCTGTCGCGGCCGCTCCCCTCGGCTTGAGGGAGCTGATTGGCTTCCCCCCGGGTCGTGGCCGCTCCCCTCGCCCGGGGGCAGCCGACCACCCCCCCTCTTGGAGCCGACGTGGCGGTGTCGTGGGCAGCTCCCCTCCCCGGAGAGGAGCCGACCACCCCTCTTGGAGCCGACATGACGATCTCGTCGGCAGTGTGGGCGACGACGACGAGTACGACCACGCAAGATGACGAGACCAGGGTACGTCTTCCACACGCCGACAGGGTCGGCGGATTTTTGGGATGTGGCCCTTAAGTACGATTGGAGCAACATAACCCGAAGGCCCAAATTTATCCCTCGATTTCCGAGGGGGGTCGGGGAACATTGAAAAAACACACGTGGAACCCGTACCACCCCCCTCCCACCCCGAAACGTGCGTCTTCGGGTTGGTTTGGCGTGGTCTGGTAGGCAGTCAGCCGACCGGCGGTGACCCCGCCGCCGGCCTTGGAAGGGCTGAACGCCGCCAGCGGCCCGGAATCGGTCGATGCTGCACAGTGGCGTTTCGGCAACGGCCGCTCGTCCCGCGGAGTCCAGAGCCACCGCCAGGGTCAGCACGACAGGGACTTGCCGCATACACCCACACCGAGCCTGGCCAGGCCGATCTCGGGCCCAGGATCGGCGTCTGCGCCTCCCTGCGCAAGCCAGGAGGGCGTACACAAAATTTCTGGGCCCAGGGCGATCCTGGCCAGGATCGGTATGGAAGTATAGGTTGTGCCCTCTTCAGCGTGTCCCCGGTTCCGTTCGGTTCGCTTCGGTTCGGGGGAATGATTCGGTTCAATATGGCTCCAGTTTCGGAGCTGTTCGAGGCGGTTCCCATTCAGAGGGCGGTTCCGTTTCAGCCGGTTCCAGTTCGGTTCTCGGTTCTTGCAGATGACGTGTGCGCGTGTGCGTCTACATGATCATATGGAGGCGTTTGGAGGTTTAGTTCAACCAGGAGTCAGGAGGAACCCTGGGGCCAGGGGAGCCAGTGGGCCCAGCTACCCGACGAGCCAGGGGAGCCACTGGGCCCAGACGTTACGCATGGTGCCCTCGACGGACCAGTAGACAGCACCGTGCCCCCTGGACCAGGGGGCTCTGGCGACAGCGGGCGGTTCCTCAGCGCCAGGATGGAAAACGCTTGGACTACGGTCTGGGACAGTACGGACCACTCACTCCTGGCATGGGTCATCCCAAAGGACAACTGGGAAGGCAAGGGCGCCGCCCGCGCCCTCGCCGGGCGCGCGCAAGATGGTGGGGGCCCAGCCCCGGCCGCCGTCCCCAGTTCGGCCCTGGAGGCCCCGAGGGCCCCTGGAAGCCCAAAACGCATTTTCGATCCGTCCAAGAATTCGATTCGAGTTTTTCCGCCGCCCTTTCCGTCCCCAGTGCGATTTGAGTTTTTCCGCCGCCCTTCCGTCCCCAGCGCAGCCTGGCCAGGAGGCTCCGAAAACCACCTGGAGGCCCAAAACGCATTTTCGAACCGTCCAAAAATGCGATTTGAGTTTTTCCGCCGCCCTGATATCCCCAGTGCAGCCCAGGGGGCTCCGAAAACCACTTGGGGGCCCAGAGCGAATTTTCGAACCGTCTTAAAATTCGATTTGAGCTTTTCCGCCGCCCTTCCGTCCCCAGTTCGGCCTTGGACAAGCAGCAAAACAGGGCGAGGGAACTCGGGGGCGCAGGGGGGAAATTGGGAACGGGTGGGATGGACCTAGGGCAAGAGTGGGCGTTCGCATCGGGCAGTTCCCATGGGGCAAGGGTCCACCTCCACGACCGGCTCCCGGTTCGTATCCCGGTTCGGGCCCGGTTCGGTTCCACCGCCTCCGGTTCGCTTTGGTTTCGGTTCACGTCGGGTTTCTGACGGGTTCCGGTTCCGTCGGTTCTCCGTCGGTCGGTTCGGCTCTGCGGTTCGCGGTTCGGTTTTGTGGTCCACTGCCTCTTGCGGTCGACTGAGCATCCTAGACGGGGTCCCAATGGTTGAATCGGGGCATTCTTCGGGGAAAAAACAATGAAATCAGCACGAAATTTCAACAGTCCGCGCGGATTTCTTGGATCCGCCTCCTTGCGACGCCTCCAGCGCCGCCCCTGGCGCGCTCCGCGCGTCAGAGAGACAGAGGGTCGGAGGGGGGTCCTGCGCCGATCCAAGAAATCCGCACGGGCCTTCGAAAGTTCTTGTGTCTGTTGGTTGCTGGCCTTCCGCCTTGCCGCCCAGATGGGGTCCGAGTGTATGCCGTCGAAGGATGGCGCCGCATCGCCGACGCATCCACCATGCAGCTCGATGTGGATACCGCATTCCTCCACGCCGACGTCGTGCGGGCGCTGTAACTTTCTGGGGCCAACCCGATGGCGACTTAAAACCGCCTAAGGATCCCCCCCGCTCAAGTGGGGACGAAACAGAGGCCTGGTCGGAACAGAGCGCCGCATCGCCGATTCATCGGCCATGCGGCTCGATGTGGAGCCCGACCTCCTCCACGCTGGTGTCGCCGATGCATCGCCAGCGTCGCCAGTGCAAGGGGCGGTCGCGGGCGTGGGGTTTGCAGGATCCTGCAGGATCTTGCAGGATCCTGCAATCTCCGCCTGAACCGTGTTTGGCTTGATCTGGGTCAGTCGATATAAGTCGGGTTTGTCGTTCAGTATGAGGAATATTCAAAAATAGTCGGCGATCTGCTGGGTATTTATTGACCATGTTTGGATATTTTTTGCGGATGTAAAACTGTTCAAGCAACATCCGCCTGTAGGGGGACAGGCCTGACCTAATGCAAGGCCCGACTGACCCGGGTTTGGATTGACCCGGGCCAGTAGATCCCCGAGAGGTGGCCGGCGGGGGCCTCGGGGACGGGCGCGGGGCCCCGTCCTGAGCGGTATCCGTTGGGCAGTGGCAGGGCGAGGGGGGTCCCGTCCGGAGCAGATTCGGGTCTCGTCCCCCTCCGCACAGTTAAGTCGGGCCTTTCCCTTCCACGGGAGGAATATTGCACAATGGTCAAGACATAGTGTGGGGGCGACTGCTTCCATTTTTTCACATATGTTTGAACATGTTCGGAGCATGTTTTCAAAATCCGCCTGGAGGGGGACGCGCCCGACCTAACCCTGCAGTCGATCCGTAGAGTGAGGACGCACGATGAGGATGCGAGGGCCTTGGAAGGCCATGTCGACACTCTGCGAGCGGGGCGCGCGCCAGCGAGGGAGCGGCCATGGTTGGGCCGTGGGGGATGCACGGGTGACCTTGGAAAGCCGCTCATCCTTACTGTGCGGGTTGACTGTACCTCCCCGAGCCGACCTCGGCCGCTACAGTCGTGCCGAGGCAGAAGATCAGTCCTAGAGCCCGAAAAGCTCACCTTTCTTCCCCCCGTTGATCGCCCCCCCCATTTCAGCGACGCCCAAGTCGGAGATCTGGCATCCCGGTCATCTCTCGGGTTTCTGGCGGCCGTTCGGGACGAAGGAGGAGGATGAGGAGGATGAGGAGGAGGAGGGGGCGTGGATTAGCGTCGGGTCTAGTTTCCTTGGGAAATCGCGGGTCTCCGCCGCCGAGTAAAGCGGCGCCGGCCGCATTCTGGGGAGGGCACCTCCCCCGATCCATGAATTTGGCGACCGCGCGCCAAATCCATGAATCGCTGATCCATGTTTGCGCGCCCCCGAGTTCGGGCCGTGCGTTGTCGCGCGGTTTCGGGCCCCGGAGGTCTCAGAGATCGATCCGGTTGCCGCAATCTCTTGCAAGAGGCAGCAGACCTCAAGAAGGCCCGGGTCGACGACGGGTGCTTCGAGTTGGGGATCGACTACCGACATCGATTTACCCAAATATTGATTTGTTCGTCGAACGGATGTTTTGTACACTCGACGAGAACATCAATTTGGGGGTGGATCAATTCTGTAGACGATCGCATGCTCGAGTTCTCTTTGACGCATTTCCTTCCCGTCTCCCATGCCTGGTCCAGGATGTGCTGGGCTGAGGTGGGAGAGAACGCGAGATCGATCCAGTTCAAGCATATGATGCAGACCGATGTGGTCCGGGGCTCTGGTTATGAGTTCTCTCAGTGTTGCATGTTTTCCGCTACGTTGGATCTCAGGGTCTCAGGAGCCGCTTTGCTTTCCGATTAAAAGGAGCCTACTTCGCAGCCCCTGATTTGTCATCAAGGAGCGGGGCCCTCCCGAGAAGCCTCCCCTGCCTTCTTGGAATGTCTCCCGCCTCCCCCCCTCTTCCGCGCTGCCGACCATGGCAGGAAATATTATATGAACTCGCAGGCGCGAATGATCTGTGAAGCCCCATTCGCACGCAGAGATCTTGATTTTCCTTTTGATCTCGCGAGCGCGCAGAGCGTCGGGGTTTCGTTTTTGGGCGCCTCCGAGTAGGGGGCCTCGGCAGGCAGCAGTCACCTGGGCCCTAGATGCATCCACCGTCCTGTGCCCGAGCCTGGGGACCCGCGCTTCAGTGCGCGCACGCCCCAGTTGCGAGCCACAGCGATTCGGGCTTCGAGCATTCTTGGCCACCAGCGCAAGGTGGGGTTCTGCGCAAGGTGAACTTCTACCTCCGTGACATTTTCTCGCCTCGCGGCAATGTCGGCCCCCTTGCTTTGCTGCTTACTACTGCAGCTCCGGAATGGTTTCTCCGCCAGGGTGAACGCCGACTTGCCGTCGGTGGTGCGACCACTGCGTGCACATCTTTCTCAGAGTCCGCAGTCAATACCTCGCCACACACAGACGATTTTGGCCATCGAGAGGTACCCAATGCTTGGTCTCTCGTTCTTGATCCCCTCCGCGCCTGACGTTTCAGGAAAACGAGCTCCCGAGAGTCAATCGAGGGCGAGCGAGGAAGGGAAGTGAGAAGGAGGAGGTTCTCAGAAGGCGGCGGGGCTTCTCGGAAGCCCTCGGGCCTACCGACCCCCCTAGATGTAGATTGTTTCCGATGGGTTTTTGGGGCGTCCAGGGTGATGGTGATATAGATGAAAACGATGGAGTTGGTGTTGGGGTGTCTTGGGGGCATATGGGGCCGCCCGGAGGCCGTATTGGGCGTCTTGGAATGATCTTGCAGCGACTCGGGGGCTTCTTGAACCGTCCTCGGTGCGTCGTGGGGCCCTCTTGGGCGGCTCTTGGGCCGTCTTTGGGATCCTCTTGGGCCGTCTCGGGGCTCTCTTGGGGGCCTTGTGGGTGGTCTTCGAAGCCTCTTTGGCAGTATTGAACGCCGTGAAGGCTGAAGAGTCGTATGTGGTAATGTGCTAAAAGTGCACGTTCTCCATTGGGAGTTGGACGATTTGTTCCTCCGATTTGTTCCTCTTAGCTGTCTTTAAGACATCTTGGAGGAATTGTGGGCCGTCTGGAGGCCATCGCTGGCGTCTTAGAAAGTTATTTCAGCGACGTGTTGCTTTCTTGGGCCGTCGTGGGTGCGTCTTGGAGCCCTCTTGGGTCGTCCGCTTCGGCAAAGGCGGTGCAAGTGTTGAACTCCGTGGAAGGAGGACCAGGAGGACAATGATAATGCTAAGGAGGAGGAGGAGGAAGAGGGGATGATGACGTGGGAGAAGGAAGAGTTTGAACATGATGATGATGATGATGATGATGATGATGATGATGATGATGATGATGCTGCTGCTGCTGATGATGATGATGATGATGATGATGATGATGATGATGATGATGATGATGATGATGATGATGATGATGATGATGCTGATGATGATGATGATGATGATGACTAGTACTGCTTATGATGATGCTGATGCTGCTGCTGATGATGACGATGATGCTGATGATTGATATGGTTGTGGTGGTGATGATGTTAATGGTGTTGGTGATGGTTATGACGATGATGCTGATGATGATGATGCTGATGATGATGGATGATGATGATGATGATGATCAGCATCACCATCATCATCATCATCATCATCATCATCATCGTCATGATCATGACCATGATCATGCGGATGAGGATGAGGATCATGATGGTGGTGCTGAGGATGATGAGGAGGAGGAGGAATAAGGAAGGAAAGATCAGGAAGAGACCTTGGTCAGGCTCCCATATCGTCAAATATCGACTGGCCTTCGGCGCATCTACCACCGCCTTGATGTCTTTTTTGGCCGTCTTGGAGACCTCTGGGGAGCCTCTTGGGCAGATTTTGGGGCGTCTTGGGCCGTCTTCGACGCTACGGAAGCCGAACAGGCGAATATGCTAAAACTGCACGTTTTCCCACGGGAATGGGACGATGTTTGCCTCTTGGGGCCCTCTTGGGAGACTTCTTGGAGGCCTCTTGGAGCATCTTCGAGGCATCTTGGGCCGTTTGGAAGCAAGTTTTGGCAGGTTTGAATACAGTGGGGGCGCGCATCAAAAAACAATTTGTTCTTCGTCAGGGTGCCCTGGCTTTCTTCGCTCCGCGCGCTGCGCGGTGACTTCCCGCAGCCGTTGAAGAAGTCGCTTCGTTCAGGGTGTTCCCTTTCTTCTCAGGCGCACCTCGCGCGCGGGTTTTCAGGGTTGGGTTTCTTGCGAGGGTTTCTTGCGCACGCGCACGCACTGTAATCTGTCGGCGGCTCGGGGCTCTCTTGGACCGTCTTGGGGGCTTCTTGGAGCCGTCTCGGCCCGTTTGGAGCCTTCGATGCCCCCATGGCGCGTTCGGGCCGGGGCGTGCCGGGCCCCAGCGGGGAGGTCGAGTTCCCGGTTTAGGGCCCCCGCGGGGGGATGATAGGTTATAGGCTTAAGTCGGGCCTGTCCCTCTACAGGAGGAGGATTCCGAGATAGTCAAAAAAAAAGTACGGGGACGAGTTGTGGGGCATTTTTTGATTGTTTTGGGGCATTCCTCTTTTTTTTATAAAAGGAAGAATCTCACGCGCCTAGAGACCCCGAAGGGGTCGGCGGACTTTGTTTGTGCGGTCGGGGAAGGCTGAGAAAGCTGTTCAGAAGCCCGGAGGGCTTCCGAGCCTTCTGAGAAGGCCCGCCTCCGTCTCCTCATCTTCCTCCTCCTCCTCCTCTTCCTCCTCCTCCTGCTCCTCCTCCTCCTCGTCCTCCTCCCTTCTCCTCCTCCTCCTCCTCCTCCTCCTCCTCCTTCTCCTCCTCCTCCTCCCCGGGCTGACCGCCGACGCAAGGAAGAAGCAGCGGCATAGGCATGCCTCATCGGACGGATGTCTCGGTTCGGTGCGGGAGACCCCCCCCTGGCGGCGCTCGCTGGCGCCGCTCCTGGCGCGCTCCGTGCGCCAGGGAAGGCGACTGTTCTTTCTCGACGCTCCCTGACTTGTTTCGGGGAAACGTAAGACTCGAGTAAGCGGGAACTCGGCTTTGCCAAAGTTTTTTGACGAGCGCGTCCTGGATTTTGACGGTCCAGTTGTCGTGGGCATCGGATGTCAGCGGGAGCCCGCGTCAGATTTTAGATTGGGTCTCGTCATTCTTACATGGTCCCCTTCAGGCCAACCCGAGTCCCCCGTACCCGAGTCTTACGTCTCCCCGATTGTTGTGTTGATACGTATTGTCGTTGTGTTGTGTGCTGCGTGACGTGCTGTTCTGGCACATTGTTGCCAGCGCTCCGCTACAATAATGCAGTGCTGTGCAAGTTGTTTCAATCAGATCAATGTGAGAACGTCTTACACCAATAATGTAATGATTCAGCCAGACAGCAGTATTATGTGTAATCCACACGCTAGCAATCGATGTGTACATCGTTTACGAACAAACCGAGTTGTAGAGCCTGCAACGAACATTCATTTGGACTACAGGCAGTGAAGTGAAGTTACCATCGCTCACCACATCATCTTTGTGTAATGCCAGACATTGCTTTTATGAGTAAGAACCCACAGTCAATATCATTGTGCGAATCGCCTACACAAGGAGTCCGATTGTAAAGCCGCCCTAACATACACGATGTTAATTCACACGTAAGAATCAGCAACTCATCCACACAAGGATTTCCGTTGAAAGGGAGCCACGAACAGTTTAGGAGGAGGCCCCCTCCGAACATCCTTGGCGAAGGACCCAACCATATGGATTATTGAGTGCAGCAACTATGAATATTGCCTTCTGTGGATTCCCCCATGGGGCCACGGAACGCGCGAGGGGCATGCCGAAATTTCGGGGGGGATGGTGCCGCATGCGGACCGTACCATTGGGGCCTTCGGCGGAAAGGGGGCCACGAACCGCGTGAGGGGAGTGCTGGAATGGGAGGAGGCCGTCCTGTTTGGATGTTTCTGAGACCTTTCGGGCCAGAGCCTCCTCCTGTTTGGGTTTTTTGTGGACCGCCCACGCGGGAACCTCCTCCTGTTCGATATTTTCGTGGGTCTCTCAGGCGGGAGCCTCCTCTTGTTTGAGATTTGTGTTCGACCTCTGAGGCGGGAGCCTCCTTCCATTTGGGTTGTGTTGTGCATCCTCGTCGGGAGCCTCCTCCTTTGGTTTTTTGTTTGGAATCCTCAGGTCGGAGGCTTCCAAGTTGATCTGAATTGGATCCCAAATTCATCCCGATTAGAATCGATCAGGTCCCGGACGTCGAGAAGCCCAATTGGATTCCAACTGGATTCTGGTTGCATTCCAAGTAGCACGGGGGAGATCACACATCCAGAGATTTCTACGGGGATTCCGATCGGATGTCATTTGGATTCCATTCACTTGGGGCCCTGGAGGCATCTCAGGCGGGACCTTCCGCTGTGAGAGTTGCTTATATAATGTTTTCTGCACTCATACCCTTCTCTTCTTCGTCTTCAGATGCCCCCCCCATTGCATATGTGAAGACGGGCCCTCCTGGGGGGCTACCATATTTGCATATTCGTTGAATTGGTCGATGGAGACATAGATGGGTGGACATATAGGTATATATATATACATATATATCTATATATATACACAAACTTACACATCATATAAATACATAGGCCCCCCCCCGGCCTGGGCCGGCCCACCCCGCAACCATCGGGGGAAGCCCGCTAATATCTGGACGCCCGACATGGGTACCGAAAGAATGGGTACGATGCCCAACAGCAGTTCCTGTTCATTCTGAACAGGACTCGCTGTCCGCGCCACCGCGGCCTGTGTCCATTCGAGACAGAGGGCCGCCTGCCCAACAGCGGCCGCTGTTGGTTTGGGACAACATTTGTTGTTGGGCATTGTACCCATTCTTTCGGTACCCATTTCGGGTGTCCAAATAATACCCTCCCGTTTCGCTCCCCAGAGGCGGCCCGGAGAGGGTAAGAGGGTGCTAATCGAGCCAAGAGGGTTCCAAGAGGCCCCCAAGACGGCGCAGGAAGGTCCCGAGCTGCCCAATACGGCCCAGGAGTACTCCCAGAGCACTTCCCAGAGGGACCCAACTGGCCCAAATCATTAAATTCCTTTGGGGGAACGTGCATTTTTAGCATGTACGACTTTTCAACGTTCGCGGTTTTCACGACGGTCCGAGAGGCTCCAACGATTTTCTCTAGACAGCCTAAGACGTTCCCAAGAGACCCCAGAGCCAGCCCAAGAGGGCGCCAAGACGGCCCAAGGGCCGCCTAAGACGGACAAGCTGGCCCCAAGACGGCGCCCAAGACGGCCCCAAGAAGCCACAATCGTTGAATTCACACGGGAAACGCACATGTTTTTCATATTCGTTTTTTCGGCTGTCACGGCATTGAAGACGGCCCAAAAGGTCCCCAGACTTGCCCAAGGGAGCCTGAGACATTCCCAATAGGCCCTCAAGACAGCCCACGGGAGGGCCAAGACGGCCCAAGGGCTGCCCAAGACTGCCCAAGGGCTGCCCCAAAACGGGCCCCAAGGAGGCCCAAGAAGGCCCCGAGTCGCTCAAGACTGCCAAAATGTCCCCAAGAAGGTCCAAGAAGGCTCCGAGACGTCCCAAAAGGCCTCCAAGAGCACTCCC